ATGACTGTAGTACCCTGTCTCTGTATCTCTATGTTAGATACCTTATCTTTGTTACTTTTCCCTTGCTATGACGAAACAGCATGAGCAATGAAGCTTCTAAAAGAAAACACTTAATTTGGGCTTTCCGTTCCATACAGAGTCCATTACCATCATGGCAGGAGCATGGCAGCAGGCAGACAAGCATGAGGCTGGAGCAGTAGCTGAAAGGTTACATCTTTGGGGGGGGGAGAGAGAGAATGAACTAGGAATGGTGTGGGGTTTTGCTACCTCTAATGACAAACTTCCTCTGAAAGGGCCACACCTCTTACTCCTTCCCAGGTAGTTCCACCAACTGAGGACTAAGTATTTAAACAAGGGCTGTAGAGGCCCTTTCTCATTCAAACCACCAGAAACCAAGGGTCAAACTTTTGGACCTTATAGGTATATAATTCTGGTGTTCTGCTACCAATGTATCTCAGCTTTCTTTTTCTTCCTACTTGTCTCTAATTCCTCCTAGGCTGCTCTTTTCTACCCCATACCTCATGTTTGATCATCTAAATATTCCATTCACCCTTACATCATTCTTTTGTTTTGTCCACCAGAAATATTATAGTTCAAGATCAATATAGCCTACATTTTCTGATCCTGTGCCTACTAAAAGATATTATGGGGAAAATACACGATGAGCAGAGTGGTGGCATTGGACATCCATGGTCTCCAACTCAGTTTCATGTTTGTTGGTCTTTGTTCTTATTGTTAGTCAGCATTTTCATTATTCTCAGCCAGTTCCAAATATTCTGTTTTTTCAGCAGTGCCCTTTGTTTTCAACCTAATATTTGGATTGCTACTACATGCCAGCTTATTTTCACATTCTGATATTTTTCAATTTCCCGATTCTTCCCACCCCAACAATCTTGTTTTTAAGTCTCAGAAAAAAATGTGTTTATACTCCTATTTAATACAAATTCGCCTTGTCGTGCTTGATCCTATAGTCTTCTTTATGAACAGTCTTTCTTGAAATATTCAGATTTCCCTAGTCCTGTTTTTTTTTAAATCTATTGTTATATTAATCTCTCTTTTCCACGTTGATATTTCTGCCTCTTCATATTCCATTAACTCTCCAGTACTTTATAATGTGGTTTAATACCCCAAAATATTCTTGCTTAGTTTCAGGATGCCTTGTATTTTTCAGTCTTGGTATATATTTTATTATCAATATATTAGCAGATCTTTTAGATTGACTTGTCACTTATCTTTCCTTTTTAATTTTGTATAATTCATTCACTTTACATCCTTATTGTAGCCCCCTTGTCTCTTCCCAGTCCCGCCCTCCTTCCCTCTTACCTCCTATCCCCTTCCCCTAGTCTTCAGAAAGGGGGAGCCTTCCTCCCTTACCACCTGACCCCAACCTCTCAAGTCTCATTTGGACTGCCTGAATTGTCTTCCTCTGTGGGATGGCAAGTCTGCCCCACCAGTAGTAAGTGATCAAAGAACTAGCAACAGAGTCCATGTCAGAGACAGCTCCAGCTCCCCTTACTAGGAAGCCCACATTAAGCTTCCTATTAAGCAGAGTGTCTGGGTCCTTTCCCTGCATGGTCCTTGGTTGGTGCATCAGTCTCTGAAGCACCCAATGGGCCCAGATTTCTTGGGTCTATTGGTCGTCCTATGAAGTTCTTGTCCCCTCTGCGTCCTTCCATCCCCCCACTCTTCCCTATGACTTCCTGTGCTCTGCCCAAAGTTTGGCTGTGGGCCAAAGCCTTGGCTTAGATCTCCTGCTGGGTGGGGTCTTTCGAAGGCCCTCTATGGTACTCTCTCTTCCTCTTCCCTCTCTTCAACTGCTTCTGGTGTCTATTCTATTTGCCCTTCTGAAGGAGAATTAAGCATCCTCCCTAGGGTCCTTTATTTAGCTTCTTTTGGTCTGTGGATTATAGTATGCTTACCCTGTATTATATGGTTGATATCCACTTATAAATTAGTATATACCATGCACTTATCTTTCTAAAACTTAATTTCCACAATTGCCATGATGCTATGCTTTTGTAGATCTCCTTGAACCTCTTTTAAGTACTTTTCTACCTTATTCTTAGTTTACTCTTCTTTTCTTTCCTTTGTTCTATTGGTATTCCTGAGAATTCTGTCCTTGGCCTACCACTTGACTTGCTCTGAATAATTTGTTATGTTTCCCAGCCTCATTCCATACCCTTTCCCTTTTTCTTCACACTCACATGCTGACGCCATTATCCCATAGAGAAAATACAAGCTGGAAGATAAGAACTTTCCCTTGCCCCAGGCTTTTCTTTATCTATTTCTGAGTTTTCTCAAAGTTATATTCTAGTTGCTCTTCTCTTGGTTATATAGTCTTGTCCCATCTCATCTGTTTCTAATGGCTTCTGACAGTCCTATTTTAATGTTTCTATGCTCTATAGACTGAACATAAGTAAAGTTGATCAGCTAGATCCTCCTACTGTATCACCTATTGCCACTATTTATTCCTTCTGTGTCTGTATCATTAAATACTGCCAGCTACAGAAATGAACACTAAAAGGACACTTTCAATTCATATTTATTCCTCTCTGATTTCCTGTATTTATATAACAAGTTCTGGCTTTTTTATTTCTCAAGTCATTCTGACATCCGTCCTGTTTTTGACAGTACCAATAACATGGTTTTAATGTGAGCTTTCAACATCTCCCCTTACATTACTGTGTTATTTTGAACTGATAATTCTGTCTTCAGTACAGGCCCAGTATGGTCGGTCAGTTTATTCTTTTGCTTTTATAAATCATTGTAGCCCACACAGAGAAGTGTCCATACTTTAATTATTACCTTAAGTGCAATCTTTTGAAGGTGCAACAGGGTGTATTATTTCTTTGATTACAACTCTGCAGGGGCTTCCTATTTCACTTTTTTTTGTTATGGCTTACAAGGACTCTTTGTGATGTAACACCGGACCTTGTGCTTTACTTCATTTCTCTTCACTGCCCCTCCATAATCCATATTGCTACTACAAAGAACTTTTCATACCCTAAGGGTGTAGCTCAGCAGAACAAGTGACTGGATATTCTGTGAAGGCCTGACTTTATTCTCCAGCACAACAGGAAGCAAAGCAATAAAACCTAACCTTCTGTATCTTTTTGCATGCTGTCTCTTTCATCTGAAACAGTTTCTCCCTTACTTTTACCATCACCTCTATGATATCAACTCCTTTCTGCATTCCATCCAGTACTCATTATGTCCATGTATGTGTCCCTCTCACCTGACATCAAACTCTGAATATTTTACAAATATAAACAAGAATGTAATTGCTTGGGTTGAATGTGTTCCTGGGACCTCAAAAGTTTATTTACTTGAGTCTCCTTTAGTCTCTTCTACTCCTGTAACTAACTCTGTTGGCCCCTGTAGAACCCCGAAGTCCTATAGAATACAGCTTTGGAAACAGTGCCCAACAATAATATATAAAACCTCCAAAGTAACACCCATCCTTCCATGAGCTAACCCCTGTCTAGCTCTCCGTTTTCATTTCTTTTACTCCTTAGTAAGATCTTTCATGTCTTAACAGTGACATCTATGTCGTTTGCCACTGCCTCCCAACCTTTAGAGTACAATATCCTCTTACTAGCTCCTTTAAAAAAGTGTATAGGCATTTTGCCCGCGTGTATGGCTTTGTGTGGTATGTGAGTAGCTGGTGCCTGTGGAGGTCAGAAGATGGAACTGGATACTCTGGGACTGGAGATAAAGAAGTTTGTGAGCCACCGTGTAGGTACTGGGAACTGAACCTGGGTCCTCTGGATGGGAAGACAGTGCTCTTAACAGATGAGTTATCTCTCCAGCCCTTCACTCACTTTTTTCTCCAGACCAATGTACTCATTAGTTCAAGTTGAGTTAGAGCCAGCTCTTTTGGGCTACCTTCCTTTATTTTTTTAATTTAATGCCTATTAATGTTTTGTCTGAATGTATGTCTGCGCACCAATGTGTGTGCCTGCTGCCCTCAGATGGCTTTGAATTCCCTGGAGTTACAGATAGGTATAAGCCACCAGATGGATAATGGGAACTGAATATGGGTTCTCTGAAAAAGAGGTCAGTGCTCTTAACTACTGCTCTATCTCTCCAGCCCCCAAGTTTAATCTTCCCAACTCCAGACTAGATAAGTGGTCTTATCTAGATGAGTGGTCTTATGATGTTCTATGCATATCTCCATTTACCTTGAAGGTCATTTTTAATGAATTAATATGTGTCTCTCCTATAACACTGGGTGCTTCTTCCAGAAAGAACTACTTCATTAATCTCTATATCTCTAGCACCTTAACCATCCTCCTCCTAAACCTACAGCTCTCAGACCTGTATATTGCTGACTCATACATTCATCCTCAGTTTGCTCTCTTTCCATTCTCTAGGTTTAGGGCAACTCTGGTGATTCATATTTTGCCCTCACACTCTTAGTGCTGACATTAAATGCACTAACATTGAAGAGCCTGGACAGTCATCTTTCACCAGCACTGTTGGAAAAAGACTAAATGATTAAAATTTTCCATTTCAACATGGAATCTGATAAATACTGAAAGTACCATTCAGTAGGTCCATACAGGGAACTAACAAAAAAGCTCAGTCTCATATTCTAGTCATGTTTTTCCTTTCCTAGTCATGTAATTTTTTTTCTGTAGAATAATCCCTGATTCACCAGAATCTCTCAATAATGCTTTTCTACTCTTTCCCTCTACAAAAGAAATTATGCACTTTAAAATATTTTTAGAGGTCGGGAGAGATGGCTCAGCTAAGCAGTTGAGGGCAGCCAGATTCACTTCCCAGAATCCACACAGTGACTTGCAACTGTCTGTAACTCCGATTTCCGGGGATCTTATGCCCTCTTCAGACCTCCATGGGCACCAGGTATGGATGTGGTACATGGACATACATGCATGCAAAACACTCACACACATAAAATAAATAAATCTAAAAGATAATTTTTAAAGTTTCTATTGGACTAAGCCTTTCTGGTGACCTCATCTTCTTTCTTTCCTATAGTCTCCATTCTAGCTGAAACAGAAGAAATCAAGGCTATTTTGAAGGAAAAGGGAATTGATGTAGAGACCATTGCTGAGGTGTACCCCATCAGAGTACAGCCAGCTCGTATTCTCAGCCACATTTATTCCAGTCTTGGTAAGTCTATTGGCCAGCCTGCTAGAATCAAATTACTATTTGATGATGGCTGGTTTCTTTCCATTTCCCCCCCTTCTTTAACTTGTATTACTCTGTTCCATTGGATCCAAGAAGGATTTAAATGCAGGAATCCAAGTTTCTGAACCAATCTTTTATGAGCAGGCTTGATAATTTTAGATGTGTTTTATGCATACTTTGGTATGTAGGACATGCTTGCTTATATTCTTTTTATAAATGCATGTTTAACTAGCATGTTCTCCCCTTTCTTGGAACCTATATTTCTGTTTTGAATACACGCTAATTTTATGTTGAGTAGTGATCAAGGAATTTGTTTTAGATCTTTTATATTGTTGTGTGATGAACTAATCATTAACAAAAAAATATTTAATCTAATACCTTTTTCTGAATAGTCATTTTTTCTTTTATTAAATTTAATGATGGAATTTTTATGTTAAACAAATTGCTACACTGTTAACTAACAGAAGATATCAGGGCTGGGAGTCTGTAGCTCAGTGGCAGAACACTTGCCTAGCAAAAACAAACCCCAAGTTCCAGCCTTATTACCCAATATAGAAAATGATATGTAAAATTTCTAAACAATCTTTGCAAGAGGCTGAATAACCACCCCTTTCCCCAAATACCCAGTTTTTGATCTCTAGTACCTATAAATATTACCTTATATGGCAAAAATAATTTTTCAGGTGTGGTTAAATGAAGGAACTTGAGATGAGAATATCACCCTAGATTGTTGAGGTGGATCCCAAATACAATCATAGAAACAGATCAGGTTACAGAAGTAGCTAAGACATAACAGATATAAAAGACTGGTTTTATTAGTCACGGTTCTCTAGAGTAACAGAACTTATATAATTATGCATAACATGATATAAGTATCCCTTGAACAATCACAAACTCTATATGTATTTAAGCAGGTTATAATAATGTCTAATATGATATAACTTTACCTCATACAACTGCAAAACCATTATAAATTTAGAATAGGTAACAATGTCACTTGAAAGACATCCTTTTAGTATCTCAAACTTAAGTATGATAATCGTTGGTATTCTCTTAATTGATGCTATATCACCTGATAAATTGAGGAAAGATATGGGTGGTGGTGGTGCCTGCCTTTAACCCCAGCACTTGAGAGACAGAGGTAGCCTTGTCTACAGGGTAAGTTCCAGGATAGCCAGAGCTACACAGAGAAATGCTGTCAAAATAACAAAAAGAAAGACAGAGTGAGTTCCTGGATAGCCAGAGCTATACAGAGAAATGCTGTCAAAATACCAAAAAGAATGAAAGGAATGAAGGAAGGAAGGAAAGAAGGAAGGAAGAAAGAAAGTTAGTTGAAGAAATGAATCACAAGTATCTGTACAGATGCATCCTAAGAAAATTTGGCAGAAATACTCATGTGAGTAAGTTTTTTCTCATGTGAGTTATACTCCTCATTTCTGCAACTGATCTTGTGGCCTTAGCTGGTATTTATAATTAACTCCTACTACTGCCCATTCTGTATATCCTCCACCCTCAGCAAGCATCTCAGCAGGTCTTGGCTCTTTTCCTGGAGGAGTGACCCATACCTTCATTCCTGATGGGCCTGTGCCCTTTGTCATCCTGGATTAGGTTGTTGTGGTTCCCATTGACTTTACTCACAGACACGGTAGCACCAAGAGACACCCTGAAGGCTCTCCTATTCTCCAGACATGGCCTTTCATGCCTCCATTGCGGAGAAGCAATCCAATTCCGCCTTGGTAATCTGGATCAACAACCCTTCCTAACACTGTTATTTCTTTCTGAGCCTCTTGGCTTAAGGACATCAACAGCCCAAAGTGGCCGGGGAGATGCCTGAGCTCCAGTTCAATGGAATGTTTGTTGTAGCTCTTGGCAGGAATGCTCCCCCATTTCTGGAACCAAAACTTCTGTGCCAGAAGACTTTCAGGTGAAGGGAACAGACCCAAAAATTGTCCTAGTGGGTCACTAGGGGTGATAGTGTGTGGAACTATTTCCTTCCCACCCCTTTATTCGTGGACCTGTGGATCCTTGCTATGGGAGAAACTGTACTATACCCTGGATGCTAATTCAAATCTAGATCACCTTCTGGAGAACCTGCTCCAGCCCTTGAGGCTTCTTCCACTTACTTGGCACTGTAACCGTGTCTTCAAAAGGCTATTCCATCTTTCTATTAGGTCAGCTGCTTCAGAATTGTTGGGAACATGGTAAGACTGGTGACTTCCATGATTGTGGGCCCACTGTCACACTTCTCTGGCTGTGAAGTGAGTTCCTTGGTCAGAAGCAGTACTGTGTGAAATACTATGACAGTAGGTAAGGCATTCTGTAGGTCCACGATGGTGGCCTTGGAAGAAGCATTAAATGCAGGAAAGGCAAATCCATAACCAGAACAAGTATCTACTCGAGTAGGGACAACGTATTGTCCTGTCCATGGAGGACATGGTTGAATGTAGTCAGCTTGCCATAACGTGGCTCAGTAGTGGTCTCTCTGTTGCAGTCGCCAGATGTTATAGCCAGGTGTGCCTTGGTGAATGAAGTCCATGTTGTTGAGTCCAGGCTGGCCTTGAACTCATGATCCTCTTGCCTCCAATTCCTTCAAAAATTCTACCAGTGTGTGCCACCACAACTGGCTATTTGGTATGGTTCATTAAGCCCTTCTGAAAGTGTTCTGGATTTCCTAATCCAAACTCCCAAAGTACACTCTACTAACAAGCAATATGGTCAGGCCTGCCACGGCAATACCCCGTTCTCCAGTTCTGTCTTAGTGTTCTATTGCTCTGAAGAGACACTATCACCATGGCAACTCTTTTCAAGAAAAACATTTAACTGAGGTTGGCTCATAATTTCAAAGGGTTAGTCTATTATCATCATGGTGAAAAGCATGGCAACACACAGGAAGAAAGATAGGGTCCTGGAGAAGGAGCTGAGAGTTCTAAATCAGGATCCACAGGCAGCAAGAAGGGAGAACCACTGGGCCTGGATTGAGCTGATTAAAAAAAAAAACTTTTATTGATTCTTTATGATTTTTACATCATGCACCCCAGTCCCACTCATCTCCCTAACCCCTCATATCCGCCCTCTGCCCTTGCATCCTCCCCCACCCAAAGAAAATATAAAAACACATAAACAAAAAAGTGAACAAAACAAAACAAAGCATAGAAAACATTAGTCGCGGAAGCTGTAGTGTGTCCCACTGTGTCCCACAGTATACCCCTCTGTCAAACCATCTTATCTTACAAACGTTCGTTGTAATGAGTCCTTGGTCGGGCTCGAGGTCTCTGGCTCCTGACGCACCATCAATATTAGATCCTCACTGGAATGCTTCCCAGTCCTTCTGTTATTGCCTAATATCACGGAGATCCTGCAGCTTCCTATCAGTAGGACCAGCACCTCTCATGTGCCCCAACAGTTCTCAGATGATGTAGATTTGGCAGTGGCCATTTCAGAGCCCTGGATCCGGGCCTGGATGGTAGCTGAGCTGGTCAGTGTACCAGCTCTCCCTTATTCACACCACCAGGGCAAGCTCTCCAGCATTGCTCTGGCTAGGCCACCCAATGCTGCCACTAGCGGGAGGCAGGGCCAGCTCTCTTGCTCTCTTGCCCTTGGGTCCAGCTCACCAGCACCTCCACCTCCAGAGCCAGCTTCACTGTGCTGCCCAGTGGAGGTGCAGGGCCCTCTCTCCCAAGTGCTGCAGCTGGTCAGGGTCAGGGCCAGCCCAGCCACTCTCATGACCCCAGGGTTTGCTCTCCTGACTACCTCAGGTGGTGAGGAGTAAGGGGGCAGACCCCCGTGCTTGGGCCTGGGCTTTTTAAGTCTCAAAGCTGACACCCAGTGAAACACTTCCTCCATCAAGGCCACACCTCCCAATTATTTCAAATAGTACCTGGTGGCCAAGCATTCCAATCTCTGAGCTTATGGGGCCATTCTCATTCAGACCGAAAGTTGGGGTTGTATTGCTATGTGGATTACTAGGAATGCCCATAACCTTTTGAAGTCAGGATTAGCAAGGAAAAAATTCTCTCCAGAAGAAACCAACCCTATTGAAACTTTATTTCGAGTTTTGAAATCTAAATTTAGGGCTTTGGACTACATTCAGATTTCAGCCTTTAGGTAAATGATGCTTGCTCAACCAGGAAAGTATATATGAATATTATTCCCATTTTTAAAATGTAAAACACTTCAGGTTCTGAGAACTTAGAATAGGGAATATTCTACCTGTGCCAGCAAAAATACTGCCAAGTTAGACTGACAGAGAAAGACGACAAACATGGGGCAAAATGAGAGAAGTCTTTTAGATTTCCAGAACTCCACAGTGGGAAAGCAGCCTGATGAAACTGCCCAGCTGCAAGCACAGGCTCGTGTCCTCATGCATGTGTGGAGGTCAGAGGACAAGAGGTCAGAGGACAACTTCAGGAACTGATTTATCTCCTCCACCATGCGGTAGCCACAGACTGAACTCAGGTCATCAGACCTAGCACCATACACCTTTACCCCAAAACCAGCTCGCTGGCCTAAATTTGTACTGTTTTAAGCTATTATGTTTGTGATAGCTCATTACAGTACCACCAGGAAATCAATATAATCTTAAATCAAGCCACAAGGTGTTATATTTGTAAATTCAATTACAATATAACTTACACAAAATAAAATTTGTATAATATAAATTAGATAATGTAATTTCTATAATATAGATTAAATTTTTGATTAAGTATATAGCTCAGTAGTAGAGTGCTCATCTGTCATGTACCAAAAAAGGCCCCATTCAGTACCTATTATCTCCCCCAAATTATAGAGATTGCCAGTTAAAAATCTTATCAGTCAAATGAGTGCCTCTTTAAAATATCTTGTAAACAAGCCTACAATTATATTAGTTCCCAGGAGGCTACCTAAGAAGGATTGAGTTTCTCAGCCTAGGCTGCGGTGCAAGTTTCAGGCCAGCTAATGCTACATAGGGAGACCCTGTCTTCAAAATATTATGTGACAGTTTC